ACCAAGGCTTGCCTGGTGCTATATAGTGATGAAGAATCTTCTGGATTTGCTGAGAAAGCAGTAGGATTGATGACTCAAGCTGCTAAGCCAGAATTGAGTGTGTAGGGGCAGTTAGATGGTGCAGTGGATAGAGCACCGGCCCTTGGTTCAGGAGGACCTGAGTTCAAATCTGGCCTCAGACACATAACACATACTAGCTGTGTGACCCTGGGCAAGTCGCTTAATCCCATTGCCTAGCCAAAAGACAAAAACAAAACAAAAAAACCAGAATTGAGTGTGTATACGAAAGGAATGTTTGACCCTCTTCTATTTTTCCTCAGGTTTTTTCTTGTACCTCTGTCTTCAAGCTCTTTGTTAAGAGCCACTACTCCGGTGACCTCAGCTACTCATGCTGGCTGCCACTGATACCTCTGCTGGCTCTCACAGCTCCCCTAATGTACTGAGCACTCCCCTTTCTGAATACTCATTCACCTAAGAACAAGGGAAAACAAACCCATATGAAACAAAGGCACCATGTGCTCATGGACACACGATGGCCAGCTCAGGGAATACAGCTTGCTGCCGTTCCCCTAACCCCAGCAGCCCACAACAGTTTGGCCTTCCTTCTCACCAATGAGGAAGAGAGCAGAAGAAGACCACCGCTGCTCTTGTTTACATGCACAGTTCTGCCTCAGCAAAGCATGAGTCATCAGCCCTTGCTGCTCCACAGCCAACTAGAATTTCCATCACCACCCAGCACTAGCTTCTTAGTCATTTCGTGGGAGGAAGTAGCTTACCAAGCCTCCACCTGTGTTTGGATTGGAAGCAGGCAGAAAATTGCTGTGCATGCTCTAAGGATAGAAATCAGGCAGAAAATGCCCAGGGCTATTTCAAGGACTGGCCTCCATGGCCAAGGCTTGTGTTTAAATCTTGGGTCTGTTAATGACCACCTGTGTGACCTTGAGAAAATCACTTTACCTCTTTGGCAAGAATCCTGGAACTGAAGTCAGAGGACTTGTTTTCTACTCACCTTCAACACTTACCACCTCTGTGCTACTGGGCAAGTTACAACTTCCCTGGACCCTAGTTCTCTGTTCTGTAAAATAAAGATGTTTGACTGGATGATCTCAAAGATCCCTTTGTCTCTAAATTCTATGATCCTTAAAAAATAATAATAATCCAACTAAAATAAGCCTGTGTCTGCTCATGAAAAACAAAGAGCAGACTTATTTGGGAACAGAAAACCGAGATGATTAATATAACCTCTGCTTCAGATTGAGTGAAATTTAAGTAACCTGATAGAAGATGGAGTGTTAAATGGCTTAAATCATGCATTTCATTTCAGCCACAGTAATATTAAGTAGCCTTACGCACCTTTTTGTTAATGTCGCTCTGCACCAAACTGGTTTTAGCTGGTTGCTCCAAGGAGCTGAGAGCATAGAGCAATATGGGGCATGTTGGTAGCACCATGCAAAGCGTGAAAGAACTCCTTCAGGGGGCTTTCACAGTGCCAAGGACGCAGAGAACAGCTGGACTGATGTAGAGCATGATTGTATCAGAACTTTCACCAGGCCTCATAGCCAGCTAAAGTACTTTAGGGCACCTAGGGTAGGTCAAGGGAATGGAATGTCTATCATTGACCAGACTGGCTGATGGGTGGTGGCCATTGGAGAGAGTATGCAGCCAGTATTGCCAGAGGGAGTTGACACTGTCAGGAGCATTTGGTGGCATTGTAGACATAACCTACTTTCACTGTCCCTATGATTCTAGAACCCTGATCAAATCTTCTCTTTCCTTGTTTTGGAAAGAGGTGTGATAAAGTCTACTCTGTCTGACTACCACTCCTCTTGTGCTGTCTTTCCCTATTAGAATGCAAGCTTCTTAAGGGAAGGGATTGTCTTACTTTTGAATTTGCATCCCCCAGTACTTATCACCGTATTTGGCACATAATACGCACTTGAGAAATTCTCATTCATTATTTCATTTCATTTATTACTAGTGGCTTGCTTCATTCTTTGTGTCTTCCTTACTCCTTTAAACTCCCGCTTGGATGTCTCACCATGCCTTGAAGGTGACTTTGGGCTCTCAAAGGCCATGCCGCTGGAGTGCAAGCTCTGGCAAGTCCTTCCAAGCTGCCAAAACTTGGAGCTGGGATCCAGTGACCAAGTTGTGTGCCTGTCATCTGAGGACATAGCTCACTCAATTCAGAGAAATTCACCATCAGCTTAGTCAGTCAAGCTACATGCATTTATTGAGGGCCGACTCTTTACCTGGCGCTGTGCTAGGCATGAATGTTAAGAAGCCAAAAAAAGAAAGACTGCTTTTTATTCATTGTATCCCCAGTGCCTAGGACAGTGCTTGGCATATCATAGGCACTTAATAAATGTGGATTGGAAGTAGTCCTACACTCAAAGAGCTTGTATTCTGTCAGGGGATATCATGACCACATGAGGAGATAAACATATAGACACACAGACACATACATACACACATACATATGTATGTATGCATATGTGTATGTATACATGCACATATAACACATAGGTACACATATTCATATATGTAAGCATAAGAGTAGAGGGTCAATTGAATTAATCAATCAATCATGGATTCCTATGCCCTTAAAGTACCTAACAAGATACTCTAAGAGAAACTCCATGATTCCCCTATGAAAAGCAGAAAAGGATGTTCAGCAACCCAGAGCTCTGAGTTAGACTTTGCCACATTACTCTCTAAGCTTGAGCTTATTTTCACCTGGATTCTTTATATACTAATGGAAGAGTACGTTACAGGCCTTTTGGAGAGATATATTGTGCCAACTGTTCTTACTTGGTAAATACACCTTTCTAAAACTAATTAAGTCTAGTTGACTAATTGATATCAACTGATAATCAATGTGGGAAATACACTAGTGACCCCTCAGGGTAGAAGTAGTAGACAACCTTTGGAGACCTGATCTGCCAGTCTGAGTAGTAGATGGCTAGTAGATAGATGGATAGATGGATAGATTAAAATGTACTAAACATTGTAGTACTATTATATACATATATAGGCATGTATGCATACATTCACATGCATATACAGTGTGTAGTATATTGCACATATGTGGATATATATATGATGTCTATATTATGGTATATTTATATATTATATATGTATGTATATATATTACATGTGTGTATATATACATATATATATATATACATATATATATATATATATATAATGGAAGATAATTGTTGAAGGGATAGCACTGTAGTTAGCTGCAGGGTGATTGATCTTTTATTTATAGCAACTCCACATAACTGTCTTCTCTGAGTGATGGAAAGGTTGCAAATTGCATTGAGAAAGGAGTATTGCTTTTCATTGATGAAATCAGGGATCTTTGAAAAGTGAAATACTAAAAAGCATGTTGATCATGTGAGGTTCATGGGATTCATTAGTGTTGATCGTGGTTGGTCATGGCTTGTGATGCTCCAAAGACCAGAAATAACATTTATCAGATTAGCAAAAGGAAGTAATGATGAAGCTGTGTTTCAGATCCAGCCCCTAGCTATCTCAAAGACTGATATGAGATTATTTCCCTTTACTCCATCCTGAAAGAGAGATACTTGATGACAAGCTCTGGGACAGGATCCTGGATAAGCTATTGGGGATGGCAGATGGAGCCTCTATATCTGAAATACAGTCTAAATGTCTCATTTTGAACAAGAAAGAAAGAAAGAAAGAAAGGAAGGAAGGAAGGAAGGAAGGAAGGAAGGAAGGAAGGAAGAATGGAAAAAAAGAAAAAAGAAAGAAAAGAAAAGAAAAGTTCTGGGCAAGTCCATATCTTGCCCTGCCTTGTTCTGGGCCATATTCTTCACTCCCTGAGGAGATCATTCCAAGACAATTAAAGGAGAGAGTTCTTCCTTCTTCATTCTTTGGCAAAAGAATCTTCCTCCAAGGCTCCACATTGTATCATATTTTATTACACTCTCCTTATAAGTCTTCAAGCAGAAGCCAGATGACTATTGCTCAGGTATGTTACAGGGAGGATTTTTCCTTGTATAAAAATGGACTCAAAGGTCCCTTCCAACTCTCATATCTTTGATTCTGTGATTTATAGTGTAGCAGGCCTGGCTCAGATGCTAAAGGCTCTCCATAGACAGGTTCATTTCATTTTACAGACAACCAGATAGAAATGTAAACCAGAGAATTGCACAAAGTACATAGATTTGTATATTCTTAGAAGCAGGGACCTTATCAAACACTTTTCTTTTAAAGAAGAAATAGAGGCCCAGAGACAAGAAGTGACTTGTTCAAGGTCATGCAGATTTGTCAAAGACCAGAACTCAGAATAGAACAGATCTCCTGATTTTCAATCCATGGTCTTTCTGACACATCCCACTGATTCTGCAGAATTTGCTGCTGCTTCTTGTCAGTTAAAGAGTTTGCAAGATATGGGAAAATGGAGACATGGGAAGGGATAGCTGTCACATTAAAGGTGGAGAAAGTATTATTTTGAAAAGAAAAAAGATGTAAGGCAATAGCTCTCTACCTGTAAGCTATGGGCAGAGTATACTGGTGATGGAAAGTAAAAAAAAAAAAAAGGAGGATTTTTTACAGGAAATCTTCAAATTCAAAAATGATACATAAACTAGCATACACCTCTTTCCAAATCAATGAAGGAGAAGATTTGACTGTGATTTCAGAATCACAGGGACAATGAAAGTAGATATATCTACAATGCCACCAAACGTTTCTGAAGGCAAGTCAATGGCCTCTAGCAGTACTACATACTGTCTGTATGGATGTCTCATATGCACATAATATTATTTTTGAAATGTATGTAGATATGATTAATAAAAATTCATTCAATTGTGTTTGGTCATAATTTAATTTCTCAGTCAATACAAGTAATACAATTGCTACAATGTGAGAGTTCTGAGGAAAAAAAATAACCTTTAACAAAGTGTCCTTATACTCAAAAGGATTTGAAATTATTGGTAAGAGTTGTGCTTTTTTTCTTTTTTCCCATGTAGGGGAGTTCCCTATACCACTGAATTGGAATTCTGGTTTCTATTCCTAATAGAACTATTGTGAAGACCTAATGAGATGACAGTCTGGAGATGCTCTGCACGTCTTGAAGGGCTGTTTGATGTCAACTAGTATCAACTCTAACTTAGGAACGGGTATGGTATAGAGGAACTAACATCGGAATTAATCCCCAAAGCATCCCCTCCCCAGAGTTCAAACTCCAGCTCCCTGTATGACATTGGCTAAGTCACTCCTTCTCACTGTGCCCCAGTTTCTTTCTCTGTAAAATAAGGAGCTTTGACTACATATGCTCTAATACCCATTCCAGTCTAAATTCTAAAATCCTGTGATGAGCTTTAGAGATGCCAGTCAAAATCCTCCCCAAACTTTGCAACCTGCAATGGAAAGAAAGTTGATCTGGTTTCATCATAAAAATATGCAGATATTAACAAAAACAAATCTAAAAGACCAAAAGCCATTTATAACACAGATGAGTGGTCAAAGGAAATGACCGAATAATTTCAAACTACTAACAACAATATGAAATGCAAACCAAGACAAATCTGTGGTTTTACTTCATACCCAGTAAATCAGCAAACATGACAAAAATCAGATTAGCCAATACTGTAAGAGTTGTGGAAAGACAGGTACATTAATTTATTCAATCCATTTTGCTGGATTTTCATTCATGTCATAACCACTGTGTGTGGGTATCCCACAAACCTCTGTCCTATGCCCTCTCTTCTTTTCTTTCTCAACTTGCTCACTTGATCTCATCAGTACCCATGGGTTCAATTATCATTGCTAGGAATATGGTTCCCTATTTCATTTATCTCTGCCTAGTCTGTCTCCTATATTCTGATCTTACATCACCAATTATCTATTGGTCATTTTGGAATGGATGTCCTATATATAAAACAAAATATATTCAAAACAGAACTCTCTCCTTTTCCCTAAATCTTTCCCTTTTCTTAACTTCTTTATTACTAATAAAGTCAAATGCATCATAGTCCTTCTAATCACCTGGGTTCAAATGATCAATTTCACCCTCAACTCCCCTCTCTAACTCTACATATTTAGCTGGAATTTGTCTCTTGATATTAATCTAACGTCCTTTTCTCTATGTGTGCCTCTGCCTAAGTTAGAGTTGATAATAGCTAATAATCAGTTCATATTGACAAAATAGCTATTATCAATTATCAATCCTCAGTTAACCACCAGTTGAAACCTTTAAGGTTTTCAGGGCATTTCCAAACTATTATCTCATTTGATTTCCACACATCCGATCAGTTGCAACATCTTGTCGATTCTCTCTCTATATCTCTTGCGTATGGCCCTTTCTCTTCATTCACAGCCACCCCCTTGGTTCAGGCCCTTCATACTTCTTACTCAGTTATTGCAATAGCTTTTCAGTTGGTCTGTCTCCTTCAAGCCTCTCTCCACTCCAATCTCTTACTCAGCTGTCAACATTCACCTCCTTCCTCTTCCCCTCAATAAATTCCAGTGGCTCTCTATTACATATTGGATAAAATATAAAGTCCTTTTCTTTGGCATTTAAAGCTCTTCACAACCAATCTCCTCTCAGCTTTTCCATTATACTCTACTTCCCTTTACATATTCTGTGATTGAGCCTTATTGACTTATTTGCTGTTCCCTGAGCAGGATGACCCAGCCTCCTTGTATTTGTTCTGGCTCCTCTTCCTGCCTTCAAATCTTTCACTGAAAACCTCCAATGCAAAGGGCAGAGCCAAGAAAGCAGAGAAAAGGAACTCACCTGAGATCTCCCAAATTCCCCTCCAAACAACTTTAAATAATGCCTTAAAATTAATTCTGGAATGGGAGAACCCACGAAAGGATGGGGTGAAACAGTTTTCTAGCCCAAGACCACTTGGTTGACAGGGAAAGGTCTGTCATACCAAGTTGAGAGTGGAACACAGTGAAGCACAGACCACACTGACCAAGCCAGGCCTTAGGGGTAACTGAATCAATAGCAGTGGCTTCTGGAGCTTGCAGCCCACAGAGGATAAGGAGATTGAACAACTACTCAGGAGATTAAAGGAGTCCCTTTGCTGGCACCAAGTTCAGTATTCTGCTGCATTGCCCATACTCGGATTCAGGTTGCAGTCCTGAGGCACACAGTCCCAGGGCAAGGAAGAGCATTAGCACAGTAGAGCTGATGACCTTAGAGGAGAAGGGACCATGGTCACAGTTCCAGGGTGGAAAAGAATATTTATGGTTGTTCACAGACTAGATTATAGACCAGGAGAGTAGTAAACACACATGTCTTTAGAGAATACCACCTTGGAGGAACTGGGCACTTTCAGACCCCCAGAAATAGCTCTGAAGACTGCTGCACAAAAATCCTGAAACTTGGGACAGTGCCCCCTCTACTCTGGGAGCAGAGGCCAACTTTAACATCAAGTTAAAAGTCAAAACATAGGCTGGAAAAATGAGCAAACAATAACAACAAAAATAACCTGACCATAAAAGGTTCCTATGATAACAGCGAAGATCAAAACGCAAACTCAGAGAAAGACAACAAAGTGAAAACTGCTACATCCAAAGCCTCAGTGAAAAAAGTGAATTGGTTTTAGGCCCAAACAGAATTCCTAAAAGAGCTCAAAAACAATTTGAAAAATCAAATAAGAGAAGTAAAGGCAAAAATTAGGAAAAGACATGAAGAGTGATTCCAGAAAATCATGAAAAAAGAATCAACAACTTGGTAAAGGAGGCACAAAAAATACTGAAGAAAATAATACCTTAAAAACAGAATAGACTAAATGGCAAAAGAGGCACACAAATAGAAGAACTCCTTAAGAAGCAGAATCGTCCACAAGGAAAAAGACGTACAAAAAATCACTGAAGAAAAGAATTCCTTAAAAAGTAGAATTTAGCAAGCGGGAAAAAAGCTACCAAATGATAACAGAAGAAAAGAACTCCTTAAAAAGCAGAATTGGGCAGTAAAAGCTAGTGACTCTGTAAGACATCAAGAACAGATAAAACACAATCAAGAGAACTTTAAAAAAAATAGAAGAAAAGGTGAAATTTCTCATTGTAAAAACAACTGACCCGGAAAATAGATTGAGGAGAGATAATTTAAGAATTATTGGACTACCTGGAATCCATGACCAAAAAAAAAAAAAAGCCAAGACATAATTTTCAAGAAATTGTCAAGGAAAACTGTCCTGATATTCTAGAATCAGAGGGTAAAATAGAAATAGAAAGAACCCACTGATCACTTCCTGAAAGAGATCCCAAAATTAAAACTCCTAGGAATATGGTAGCCAAATTCCAGAGCTCCCAGGCAGAGGAGAAAATATTGCAAATGGCCAGAAAGAAACAATTCAAATAATATGGAGCCAAGTCAGGATAACACCAGACTTAATAGCTTCCACATTAAAGGGTCTGAGGGCTTAGAATATGATATTCCAGAGGGTAAAGAACCTAGGATCATAATAAAAAATCATCTACTCAGCAAAACCGAGTACAATGCTTTGGGTGGGGAGAGGGGAAAGGAAAGATGGACATTCAATGAAATAGAAACTTTTTAAGCACTCCTGATGAAAAGAACAGAGCTAAATAGAAAATTGGTTTTCAAATTCAAGACTCAAGGGAGGCATAAAAAGGTAAATAGGAAAGAGAAATCATGAGATTCAATAAGTTTAAACTGTTTACATTCCTACACAAGAAGATGGTTCTAGTAATTCCTAATAACTTTATCATTATTAGGGCAGTTAGAAGCAGTATACATAGACAGAGGGCATGGGTATAAGTTGAATATGATGGAATGATATCTTAAAAAAATAAAATTAAGAGGTGAGAAAGAAGAAAGTACTGGGAGAAGGGAAAAAGTAGAATAGGGTAAATTATCTCACATAAAAGAGGTGTGAAAGAGCTTTTACAGTGGAAAGAAAGATGGGGGAGGTGTGGAGGGGAAGCACTTGAACCTTACCCTCATCAGAATTGGCTCAAAGAAAGAACTAACATAAATACTTGGTTGGTTATAGAAATCTATCCTACAGTGGCTAGGTGGCACAGTGTATAAAGCACTGGCCCTGGAGTCAGGAGGACCTAAGTTCAAATCCAGCTTCAGACACTTGACACTTACTAGCTGTGTGACCCTGGGCAAGCCACGTAACCCCATTGCCTAGCCAAAAAAAAAAAGTCTATCTTACTCTACAGGACAGTAGGAGGAGAAGAATAAGAATAAGCTAAGTGGAAGAGTGCTGATAGAAGGGAGGGTAGCTTGGGAGAGTAATCCACCTGCTCATCATTTCTCATGGAACAATAATATTCCATTACATTCATATATCATAATTTGTTCAGCCATTCCCCAATTGATGGAGAGCTACTATAAATATTTTTGTACATGTGGGTCCTTTTCCCTTTTTTATGATCTCTTTGGGATATAGACCTAGTAGTTGTATTACTGGAACAAAGGATATGCACAGTTTTCTAGCCCTGTGGGCATAGTTTCAAATTGCTCTCCAGAATGGTTGAATCAGTTCACAACTCCAGCGACAATGCATTAGTATTCCAATTTTCCCCATCTTCTCAAATATTTATCATTTTACTGTTTTGTCATGTTAGCCAATCTGATAAGTATGAGGGGGTACCTCGGAGTTGCTTTAATTTGCATTTTTCTAATCAATAGTGATTTAGAGCATTTTTTCATGACTATAGATAGTTTTAATTTCTTTGTCTGAAAGCTGCCTGTTCATATCCTTTGACCATTTATCAATTGGGGAATGAGCTGTATTCTTATCAATTTGAATCATTTCTCTATATATTTTAGAAATGAGGCCTTTATCAAAGATACTGGCAGTAAAAATTATTTCCCAGATTTCTGCTTCCCTTCTAATCTTGGTTGCATTGGCTTTGTTTATGCAAAACCTTTGTAATTTAATGTAATCAAAATTATCCATTTTGCATTTCATAATGTTTTCTATCTCTTGTCTAGTCATAAATTCTTCCCTTCTCCATAGATCTGACAGATAAATGATTCTTTGCTCTCCTAATTTGCTTATGGTATCACCCTTTATGTCTAAATCATGTACCCATTTTGACCTTATGTTGGTATATGATGTAAGATGTTGGTCTATGCCTAGTTTCTGCCATACTATTTTCTGGTTTTCCCAGAAATTTTTCTCAAATTTTGAGTTCTTATCCCAGAATCTGGAGTCTTTAAGCTTATCAAACAGTAGATTACTGTTGTCATTAACTACTATGTCTCGTGCATCTAAACTATTCCACTGATCTACCACTCTGTTTCTTAACCAGTACCAAATAGTTTTGATGACTGCTATTTCATAATATAGTATTAGATCTGGTATGGATAGGCCACCTTCCACTACATTTATTTTCATTAATTCCCTTGATATTCTTGACCTTTTGTTCTTCCAGGTGAATTCAGTTATTTTCTTCTAGCTCTATAAAATAAATTTTGGTAGTTTGATTGGTATGGCATGGAATAAGTAAATTAATTTAGGTAGAATTGTCATTTTTATTATATTAGCTCGGCTTACTGATGAGCAACTGATAGAAAATGATTACTGAAGGTGATGTGGGAACATTGAGGCACTATGCATTGTTGGTGGAGTTGCAAAATTAATTCATTCATTCTGTAAAATAATTTGGAACTGTGCTCAAATGGCTTTAAAACCACTATTAGGTGTGCACACCAAAAAGGCAAAAAAAGAAATGAAAGGAAAGGGGCCTATACATACAAAAATATTTATAGCAACTCTTTTTGTGGTGGCCAAAAAATTAGAAATTGAAGGGATGTCCATCAAGTGGCAATGACTGGACAAGTTATGACATGTGATTGTGATGCAATACTATTCTGCTATGGGAAATGACAACCAAGATACTCTCAGAAAAACTGGAAAGACTTACGTGCAAAGTAAAATGAGCAGAATCAAGAAAACATGTACATAATAAGAGCAATATTGTATAGTGATCAACTGTTAGTAACTTAACTGTTCTCAACAATACAATGATCCAGACAATTATGAAGATCATACGATGAAAAAAAAATACTCACAGAGAGAGCTGATAAAGTCTGAATGCTGATCAAAGCATACATTTTTTAATTTGGTTTTTCTTTTTTTTCCTTTTGGTGTATTTTTTTTTTTTTGCTTTTTGGTGAAGCAATTAGAGTTAAGTGACTTCCCTAGGGTCACACAGCTGGTTAGTATCAAGTATCTGTGACTAGATGTGAACTCAGATCCTCCTGACTCTAGGGCCGTGCTCTGTCCACTGCACCACCTAGCTGCCCCTATGTTTTCTTTTACAACATGGAAATATGTTTTGCATGACTACACATATATAGACTATATTGAATTGCTTGACTTCTTGGTGAGAGAGGAAGAGAGGGACTGAGGGAGACATTTTGGAACTCAATTTTCAAAAATAAATGTTAAAAATCATTTTTACATGTAATTGAAAAACATAAAATATGAAATAAAATTTAGAAAGAACATATCATGTTAAGAATTGGACATTGAAGGGATACTCATCAAATGGGGAATGACCAGGCAAGCCATGGTATATGACTGTGATGGAATTTTATTGCAATATAAGAAATGACAAGCAGGATGATTTCAGAAAAACCATTGATGCAAGGTAAAGTGAGCAAAAACAGGAGAATATTGTACACAGTAACGACAATATTGTGCGATGAACTGAGAAAAATTTAACTATTCTCAGCAATACAATGCTCCAAGACAGTTCTAAAGGACTCATGATGAGGCATGCTACCTGCCTCCAGAGAAAGAACTGGTATTGATTGAATACAGACTGAAGCATGCTATTTTTCACTTTCTTTCATTCTTGTTCTTTTATTAGAGTCTTCTCGTACAAAATGACTAATACGGAAATGTTATAGATGATTGCACATATATAACTTATATCTGCTTACTTTCTCGAGGGAAAGGGAGAGGAAGGAAGGAGAGACATAATTGGAATTTAGAACTTTAAAAAAATGTTAAAATTATTTTAATGTATAATTGGGGATGTGTGTGTGTGTGTGTGTGTGTGTGTGTGTGTGTGTGTGTGTGTGTGTATAATAAAACCTTCAAACCCTTAGAATCTTTGGCTTCCTTTAGTACTCAACTTAAGTATCACCTCCTACAAGTATAGCCTTTCCTGGTCCTTTCGACTGCCAGTACCACCCCTTCTAATGTTATCTTCCTTCTACTCTGTATTTATCTGTATGCTCTGATTTAAATATTTTTTTTTCTCCTCCATCAGAATGTGAGCTGCTTAAAGGCAAGAACTGCTTTTGCTTTTAATTTGTCTCCCTAGCACTTAGCACAGTACCTGGGATGTAATAAGTGTATAATAATGTTTGTTGATTGACCCAGTATTACAGCCATGATGCTTGGGCAGGGACCTATTGTTGTGGGCCCTCTTAACTCAGAGTGAATGTAAGTAATAACTGTTTCTCTTTTGGTCAGCAACCCTCATGGTCTTCCCCTCACAAATAGGGCCCTTTGATTAAAGGGCCCAGCCCTTGACTCACTTCTTAAAGACGCCTATTCACTGAGTGGGTGTTACCTCACTGAAAGTGAGAATCTGAAAAGACCTTAGCTTAAAAGGGCCAGTGCCTCCCAGTATATCCTAGGCCTTCTCCAGTGGTCCTGATGAATATTTGTCCACTGGACCTAGATGGCTCTGGAGGAGAGAGTGAGGCTGGTGACTTTGCACAGTCCTTCCTCACTCAAATCAAAGTCAACTGCAAGTCATGTCATCATTTCCCTGATGTCATGGTCCTCTTTGAGAACAAAGGACAAAAGTAACAACAAGACCTATGAACAGGTCCAAACATTCTGGAAAGTAATTTGGGATTATGCTGAGAAAGTAATTAAAATATCCTTACATTTTGATCCAGAGTTCCACCACTAAGCTTTGTTCCCAGGCAGTTAATTGAACATTAGCCCCAACTGCAAGATGAGATTGAGGCAATAGGGCAGATGAGCAAAAATGGAAAAGAAATTTTGAAACAACCTGTGCTTTACTAGATAACAAGTCTCTAGGGCTTTAGTTCCCCTGAGATGCACCCAATTCCATAGAAGCCCACAAAGTGAGCTATGTCCCTTTATAGGATTAGCTTATGGGGTTCTTCACATCACCAAAGGTAGTCCTTATCTTATTTAGCCAATCAGGGAAGTAGGTATGGTTCTGTTGCCCAATTTGGAACTTGAACAGGTTTTGTGTCTCTAACATACAATGCCTTATTATGGGCTACCTATCTTTATGTCTCTGTTTTATATAACCATAACTAGGGGATGTTCAACAGTCGTGAATTTCTTACTGCACTCTTTGGCTTAGTCATCTCCTCAGGCCTGAGGCTTGGGGACAGAGTGTAGCCTTCACTACAGGAATATAACCCAAAAGAGGTAAATGACAGAAATAAAGGTCCCATTTGTACCTCAATATATGTAGCAACTTTTTGTTAGTAGCAAAGAATAAGAAACAAAGTAGTTGGCAATTTGTTATTAATAGCTAAACAAATTGGGTAAATGAATGTAATGGAACATTTATGTTCAGTAAAAAAAAAAAGTGACGTATCTAATAAATGGAAGCATGGAAAGCCTATGAACTGATGCAAAGTGAAATAAGAATAACCCAGAAAATAATATACGTAATTATGAAACGATGCCAATATAAAGGACAACAACAAACTAATATAAACTGAATGCTATGGAATTATAGTGACCAGGTACAGCCCCCAAAAATGACACGAGAGTCTATGTTCTTTCTTTGTTTGTATGGAGGAATATGAGTAGGAAAACGTATTTGTTTATTTGTGCATTTATTCATTTATTCATTTATTTTTCAGGATAAAGAATAGCTCCCTGGGAGGACTCTATTGGGAAATCTACGTAAGTGATATAAACACAAAATATATATATATAAAATATATAAAAATAAAAGCTGAGCTAATAAAACTCATGTAGACCCCCAAGAAGTTGAGGCTGTTCCCCCAAACCGTGGCATTGCTGCATCAGTAGGAACATAAAACAAAATGTGGGGCACAGGCTAGTGTTCCAAAGAAGGAAGGAAATTAGCAGGTTGAGACTGTCTTTTAATTCAGTATCTCATTAAATTAAATCAGATAGGGATGGGTAAATACCAGAAGTAATAGACTACTGCCTCCATGCCAATTTTCTTTTCGCGGTTAGCCTGCTCTGCAGGCAAGGCCCGCCTGCTTTTGACATTCAACAGCTCTCTGTTTGCCTCCAGCTCAAATATTCAATTTCCTTTTCTCTCTCACTCTGACTCCTGCCTCCCCCCACCCTTTGTGCCATTCATTCTGGTGCATGGGAAATGGACCCCTTCCCCTCCATCCCTGTGGGGCTTCTGCAAGATATCGCTGAGTCAGAACCCAGGGAGCCAGGATGGCAGCAGAGTGAGTCACAGCCTACTTCCTGGTTGGCCCAGGGGGAGTCCTAGGCTCAGGCTTTGGGGCCAACAGCACAGCCAGCTGATGGCTTCAGAGACTTGGCAGTAGGACAACTTGCCTTTTAGGAGGCTGGGCCTGGAATAAACCCCATGTCTGGATAGCTTAGCCTAATGGCCCCTTTGCAAATAAAGAAATCCATGTCAACCACTGTTTAAAGTTCCCAGACTCCTCCACTCCCAAATCCCTAAGAAATCACCAAATTGTGGAATGTTAGACCTGAAGAGATCTTAGTAAATAGAGTATACAGTGATAGAACTAGAAGAAAACGTTGCAGTGATGTGGTTCAACTACCAATTTTATAGGTAAGGAAACTGAGGCCCAATGAGGTGACATGATTTGTCCAAGGCCATAGAACTAGTCAGGGACAGAGTCATAATTAGAAATCAGGTTTTCCTAACTCTCCCTTAAACCAAGCTGCCTTCCTTAATATCTATGCCTTTGGGGGCTATGGGAGAGAAATTGTTGACACTTCCAAGCTGAGCTGATCCCTTTGTAACCAGGGGTACTACTGTGCAGACATAATACAATGTGGATTTGGCATCCATTATACTGCTCTCCATAAAATTCCTGAGGGGCTCCTTAGGCATCATTTGAATCACATTATTTCCCTTTTGAGCAGTTCCTAGTTGCCTCTTAGATGAAATGAGCAGAACTATAACTAGGGCAGGGAAATCATGACTTTTCCTTAAGGGGCTGGGGTCTTTTGAGAGAGAGGGCTCATATATTCCACTATCTTTGTGCTCCATGGAGCCTCTTCTAAGGCCAACCACTGTTGGCCACTGTTTCCCTCCTAGCTGCTGCTCTTCCTCCTTCCTCCATGAAGTGTTGAGGGACTACACTCTGAGATGCAGACCAGCCCCCTCCCCGAGTACAGCTGTACTGGCCCAGGGCAGCTTTTGTGTTTTGCTTCCTTCCCCAAACTGGATTTTCCCCTCTGTGCCAGAATTCCTAACTATAGCTCTGATCAAGGGTTCTAATTCTAGCTAAACATTAGTCTAACCATCTTGTTCATTGCTCCATCTTAGCTCAGGCTGTCTGTTTAGCTGCTATGGTACATAGCAAGATGGGTCTGGTGATCCAAAAGCAGAGAATCTGAATTCAAATCCCTTTTTTTCTTTCTGTTTGATCTTGAATAAATCTCTTAACCCCTGTCCCCATTTGGACTAAATAATCTCTAATGTTTCATCTAATATTCAATAATACCATGGTCCTATAAGTTAAATTGTTATATGTTCTTGTGTTCCTTACCTTCAAGTCCTGTCATTTTCCCCAACCTGTACTCACCTAATACCTCAGAGTAGAGAGAGTGGTGAATTGGAAGTCAGTATGACCTGAGCTTGAATCCTGAGCTTAGCATTTCCTAGACTTCTTAGGGCAAGTCACTTAACCTCTCTGAGACTCAGTTTCCTCATCTTAAAAATGAGATGATATTGATTGAATTACCTACCTCACAGGGTTATTGTGAGGCTCACATGAGAAAAAGTTTGGAAAGATATTTAAAAATCGTAAAGTGTCACACAGTTGGCATTGTAACCAGGGCTCAGACCACGGCATCTACGTAAGGCTCTCCTTATTGATGGAGAGAATAATTACCCTTCATGATGGGCAGCATTGTTGACAATTTAAAGGAGACTTTTTCTGGTTTCTGGCTTTTAGAAAAGATACTCATAGTTTCAGCCTCTCTTCAGAGAAAGACCCCTGGAGGGAAAGAAAGATTCTGGGAAGAAGGTGACACATAGAGGAATCACCAATGAGGAGTGCCTTAGGTAAATGCTAGGCATTACTATTATTATTATTATCATCATCATCATCATCATCATCATCATTATTATTACGACTGTTAATAAGTGATTGTTCCTCTGTACTTCTATCTATGTCCCAATTAGTGTAAATAATGAATCCCTTGAAATGGTCCACATTGTTTGAATTGACACTATGTATTTCCATCGGGCTGGAACCAATGACCATATATCACATAATTATAACATTGAATAGTGGGAATTCAGATACATGTGACGCCTTCAGGGTATTCATTATGTGCCCAAATTGGGATCTAGATGTGTATAGTATGCATATTGAGAGACCTTTCTGTTATTCTGTTGTTCTCTCTGGTCTTTTATCCTGTCTCATCCTGTACTCTGGATCAATGTCTATAACCTCTATAAATACAGCAACTCTGTCTTCTTCCTTCATAATAACAAAAAGTAGTAGTAATAATAACTTGTTTTCCCATGAAATATTAAGTGCTTTCCTCACAATCATAGGATTTAGAGCAGGAAGGAACGCTGGAAATTATCTAGTTCAAGCTCTTCATTTTTTTCCAAAAAAGCCAAGTGATTTGCCAAAGGTCACAAAGTACTAAGTGGAAATGAGGGAAAGAACCCACATTCTTTGACTCCAAATCCAGTTTCTTGCCACTGAGCCATGCTGACTCCCAGTCCTGTGAAGTAGTTAGAGAAGAGAGATACTGATCCATTTTACAGATGAAGGGACGGAGGGACAGAGAAATTAGGGACTTGCTGGTAGACAAACAACTAGGAAATGTTGGAACTGGAATTTGGGAAGAGGTTTCTTGCTCCAGCTACAGCATTTTTCCCCACTGCTTCACACAATACCTGGTGGTACCAATAATACAGTTCTTTACCTAGCCAATCCATGGCTAAGTTAAGCAATACTCCTGACTACAGGTGAAGATTCATTTAGAGGGGGATGAATCTTGAGAGGAAGGGCCCTGAAATGTAAACTCATGTGTCTATTTTTCAATTGCTCAGAAAAATGTCTCGATTTTTTTTTTCTGCTTGAAAATGTTTCTATATCCTCAGGCAATGGTGACTGAGCTCATACTAGTCCTTGTTGTTCATCAGTCCAAACTATTTGCTGGATGGCTGAGGACTTAAGGGATCATACAGATAGGCCAGGGCCTGTCTAGGGAATGTCTTTAGGTCATTATATCCCTTGGGGGAGGGGTTCCTGTTGTAGACCTTGGCTAAACTTAGGACCCTAAATAACCCAATAACCCGCTAAAGAAAATCAAGAATTGTGAACTAATGACATATAAGCATCCAAGGTGTTAACAGTAACTGAGAGGCACAAATTCAAGCCAGAGATGTCAGATGCTGATGTGATTATTGCCAGCATTCATTTTTACCTGCGTGTAACAGTTATTCTCAGAAATGTGGAGCAGGGAATAAAATCATGACCTCATATGATTCCTTCTGCCATATTGCACACCACAGTGGTAAGATGGAAAGAATCATGAGAGTCAGAAGACCAAAGTACATTACAAAATTAAGTCAATGTGTAGCCCACAGGGATCCTTATGTGTGGATTAGTGGTCCTCGTTTCTGTGTGAGCTTGACATCACAGCTCAAGACCACTGAATGCGTAGGACTTATCTCTATCCCTAGGAAATCTGTAATGCAAAATTATTCCTTTTTAATTGAACTTCTCATCAACCTTATTAAAAAATCTCTACCCCTCCACCCCCTATATTTTTGTTGAAAAAAGTCTATTTGTTTTTATCCATTAAGGGTCAATTGACTCAATGGAGGGTCAATTGAGGCTAAGTTAAGCAATGCCTCTGACTACAGGTAAAGATGCATCTAGAGAGACAGATCTTGAAGGGAAGCATCCAGAAATTTAAAATTGCTTGCCTATTTTTCAAATGCTTCAGAAAAAAATGGTCTCCATTTTATTTCTGCTTTAAAATGCTCAAATTTTTTTAGCTTGTTTTTAAAAATTGGGCTGATGAGAAATCCAGAACAAGAAAAGAAACATTTTAAGGTAACTTTCACTGGAGCAGGGTGGATTATAGCCATGGAAGGCTGCTTTGCCAGGAAAGACTTAGTGCTTAAACATGGGAGGCTAGCTTTACTGATAAACCATACATGTGATTATGCCGAACAGCCTGGTGGCATTTCAGGTGGATTTGTGTTTCTTGAACTGTTTCCCATGTTGATTTCATGAATAGTAATGTTTCCAAGTCATTTTTCCTTCTAGAACTAATTGCTCTTAATACTGGAAGCCCAAAGCAATGTCCAAAATGAGCTTGTCTATGTCTCTTGCATGACATAAACAATAAGCTCCTGACTTGTTACCCTTCCATCCAGTCAATCACTGAATCTCCCTATCCTAGGTCATGCTTGAGGCTTAGATGAAAGAGATGCATTTTCTTTAAAGTCTTCAGTTTCTTTTTTTTTAAATAAGATACACACACACACACACACACACACACAATGGGAATAAAAAGCCTATGGTACAATGGAATATGTGACAGAGTTGAAGTCAGAGGACCTAGGTGCAACTTTGCTACTTAATATCTACCTGACCCAGGGTAAACCCCATCACTTCTTTGTACCTCAGTGGCCTCATCTGTATAATTAGGCAGTTAGACTACATGATTTCTAAGGTTGCTTTCCTAGAACAGTGCCTAGCATATGGTAGGAACTGAATAAACGCCAGTTGATTGATGAAAATCTTCCAGTGTTCCGTCCAACTATGTTATTAATGTCATCTATATCAGTGAGGTGTAGTGAAAAGGGTGGTGTATTCAGAATCAGAAGACCTGGGTTCAAATACTAACTCTGACACTTTCTACCTTTGTGACCTGGAACAAGCAACTCAGGCTCTCTAGCCCTCAATTAAGTACAATGAAGGGTCTGGTCTAGATGCTCTTTGGTCCCTTCCACATCTAAATCCTATGATACCAAGAGGCATGTAATTCCCTGAACTCAGAAATACAGTACATTACCAACGCTAGGTAATAATTATCATCAAATGTGGTAAAATTAGTCAGACTTCTTCTCGGAGAGGTGTCATTAAACTATTTCTAAACTTTCTATGATGAGCCAGTGAGGTTCCAAAATGCAGGGGGAGGTGTCAATGAAGGAAACCAAACCCTTTTTTTAGATCAAATCAAGGAGGTCCATGAAAGGGGGGATGCAGGGTGCTTTAGGGCAGAAAGTGACCTAGAATTGGAGGCAAAAAACCTCCTGCCTCTGCTTCTCATTACTAGTGTGACTTTGGGCAAGTCACATCTTCTCTCTGGGTCTCAATTTCCTCTTTTGTTAAAATGAAAGCATTGAGCTAGATGACCTCTATATCCCCTTCTAGCTCTAAATTCTTTTACCTTTTATCTGAAGTTCTGTGGTTATCCTTATAAGAAAAAAAAAACAACCTGCCCTGTGATATCCTTAAATGTACCTTCTAAACCCAGACCTAAGTAGTGATGCCAAGGAAGAATTCTGATACTGTTGCCATATTTTTTATACTACTATTCCATGTTAAACCAGAAAGCAGATGATGCAGGAAAAACCCTGCAGTGTCTGAGGAATGGGATATTCAGTAACTGTTTTATTTATTCATCTCCTTTTCTTTAAAGGATGGCTAACAGAGAGAGGCAAGGTCATTCATCTCTACATGTCCCATCCAGCTTCCCTGCTCTGGCTCTGCTTGATCATGTCAGGAGCCTCATCATCCTGGAAGATCACATCAACACTAGAACTCACATCATCTCAGTACCATCTACTCCTGGGGCTCCTCCTTCCCCCTCACTGGAGAGGAGGTTAGGGGGAAAGAAAGCCCTTCCCAGATCCTCCCTTTAAGGAGTATGCCCAGGCTAGCTATCTGCTTCCCATCTGACTGTATTACTCTGGATTTCATCATGATGGGTACTTCCTCCACCCACGCTCATCCCCACTTTTCAGCTTCTTTTTTTTATATTTGTCCCACCATTAGACTGTGAGATCCATGAGGGCAATCATTGTTTTTTGCTTTTCTTTGTATCCCTAGAACTTAGCATAGTGCCTGGAACACAGTGGGTGCTTAATGAATGTTTATTGGCTGACTGTAAATTCCTTTTGACTTTCAAACCCCAACTGCCGAGCTTTTCCAAAAAGGTTCACATCCCACTCTCTGGCCTCAGGAGATAGCTCTGTCTTTGATAGTTTGCTTGGGATGTGGGGGGAGGGGATGGTGGTGGTATTATTCTGAAAATTTCTCATTGTTCAGGGCTATACAAATATTAAGGTATAAAGTGAGTAGTGTGGACTGTTCCTAGACATTTCCGCATTTCACATGTATTTAACTACTTTGCATTTGTGTGTATTCACTTCATATTGAGGCTATATATATGCTTATATATGGTCATCCCCATCTTAGAATGCAAGCTCCCTGCAGGTAAGAATTGTTTCATTCTTTGTACTTGTATCCTCATGACCTAATACAGTGCTAGGCACATATCAAGCACCTAAAAAAAGATCTTTCCTAATTGATCAATATCGCCTGTATTTGGTTTTTTTTCTTCTTTTAACAAGACCTGTGATTTCATTGGTGGGGGGCACTTCCATGAGGAACTTCCTCAACCAAGGCAGACCAGCATCTTTTCTGCAACTTCATAGGCTTAGAGCAGGGGTTCTTAACTAGAACTCCACAGTTGGGGGGAAAGGTCTGTGAATTTGGATGGGGGAAAAATTCACATTTTCATTTTCACTAAGTTCTCACTAAAATTTAGCATTTCCCACAATTTGCATTTACAAACATTATTCTTTTTTTGATAATTATTTTTAGTTTTCAACATTCACTTCCATAAGATTTTGAGTTTTAAATGTTCTCTCCCTCCCACTCTTTCCTCTCTCTCCCCACCAGCTGGCATGCAATCTGATATAGACTCTACTTATACATTCATATTAAGCATATTTTCCCATTAGTCACCATGTAAAGAATAATTAGAACCAATAGGAGGAACTACAAGAATGAAGCAATAAAACAAAACAACAAAGGAAAAGAAGAGCAAATAGTACACTTGTATCTGCATTCGGACTGCATAGTTCTTTCTCTGGATGTGCACAGCAGTTTCCATCATGAGTCCTTTGAAGTTGTCTTTGATTCTTGCACTGCTATGAAGAGCCAAATCTATCAAAGTCAATCAACACACCATGTGGCTGTTACTGTGCACAATGTTCTCCTGGTTCTGCTCACTTCACTCTGCATCAGTTCATGTAAGCCTTTCCAGGGTTTTTTTTTTGAAGTATGCCTGCTCATTATTTCTTATAGCACAATAGTATTCCATTAAATTCATATACCACAACTTGTTCAGCTATTCTTCAATTGATGGGCATCCCCTCAATTTCCAATTCTTTGCCACCACAAAAAGAGCTGCTATAAATATGTTTGTATAGAGAGATCTTTTTCCCATTTTTATGATCTTTTTGGGTTACGGACCTAGAAGTGGTATTGCTGGGTCAATATAAACATTATTCTGAGAAGGGGACCGTAGGTTCACCTGACTGTCAAAGGGGTCCATCGCACAAAAAAAGAGATGAAGAAGGTTGCCTGAGAGCACTGAGAGGTTAGGTCCTTTACTCCAGGTCACACAGCCAACATGAGTCAGAAGTAGGGCTTGAACTTACTAGGGTATCTCTTTACTATCCCTCAAGACTTCTTCAGGAATTATTGTTATAATATTTTACAGTTACAAGAGCACAGCACAGTAGAACTTCAGACCTAATAGTGGTCTGAAAAACCATTCCACTGTCTTATTCCTGAAAACAAGTGTCGCTATGGTCTAATACAGGTAACATACTCATGGTTGGTTGGTTTCCATAGGTTTTATTGAAGGTTATATCAAGATAATGGGAAATTAGGAGTCTCTAGATGGCCCTAAGGAGTCATAGCTACTTTGCATAGTTTGTTGACTCCAGGAATTCTTCAGTCTTTGGAGACATGATATGCTAGGAGTTTATCTAGACTGAAACTTCTGTTAGAAGTGAGGAATACACATTGGGCTTTGGGTTTCAAATAGGGTCTCTAAGCAAAGGTTCATGGGAAAAAGGAGATTTGATTTTAACTCAATCTAGTCCTTTCTTTTACTCAGTTTGAAATCTTAGTTTTATCCTTGATTCCTTCCTCTCCTTTACCTCTCATATCCAGAGAGTTCTGGTTCCTTTGCCTGGTATTCAGGACCCTTCTACAATCTATCCAGCCTATCTTTCTGATCTTATCATTATTACACCCCTTTATTCATTCATTTTATGAGCTAGCTAAACTGGACTACACACTTCCTTATTGGTGTGCCCTGCCCTTTCTCATATCTGTGGCTTTCCTCATACTATCCCCTGACCATAAAATGTCCTTCCTCTCCCTTTTGACTTGATAAAATTCTTCCTATCCTTTAAAATCCCACTCAAATGTCATATCCTACAGAAGGTCTTTTGCCTGATCTAGCCTTTGATAGTTGTTAATGTATGCTATCTTAGCTATTTCTGTATGTGGATTGCATGAAGGCAGGGATTATATCTCATCTAACTTTTTTTTTTATCATGCCCATACCTAGCATAATGCTGTATATACATTAAGAGCTTAATATTCCCTTTTTGAATTTAAGACTTTTTGTCTGGCCTGGCTGTTTTGCTACAACTAGAGAACATTTCTCTAAAGTGGAAAGAGAGCTGGACTTTGCAGGCAATTTGGTTCAAATCCTGACATTGGTATTCACTAGCTATATGAACTTAACATGAGTAAGTCTTTGAGGTACACTTAGCACAGTGCTAGCACACAGTAAATATTTAATAAATGCTTTATCTATCTATCTATCTATCTATCTATCTATCTATCTATCTATCTATCTATCCATCCATCCATCCATCCATTTGAAGTCCTTTGTAAACATTTAAAAAACATTTATAAAATCTGTTATTTTAATAAACCTTGAAGTGCTAGAGGTGAGATATTAATCTTATTTGCCCTATCATTCCTGGAGCTAATGACAAGCAGTACTATTTCAGAAAACTTGGAAAGACTTACATGAACTGACTCATAGTGAAGTGAACAGAACCGGAAGAACATTGTACACAGTAATATTGTTTGATGAAGAGCTGTGAATAACTTAGGCATTCTCAGCAATACAATGATCCAAGACAATTCCAAAGGACTAATGATGAAGCATGCTATCTGCCTCCAGAGAAAGAGCTGATATTGATTGAATGTAGACTGAAGTATGCCATTTTTCATTTTCTTTCATTTTTTTTCTTTTATATGAGTCTTCTTGTACAAAATGACTAATATGGAAATGTTTTATATAACTGCACATGTATAACCTATATCTGATTGCTTACCATCTCGGAGGGTGGGGAAGGTAGTGAAGGATAGAATTTGGAAGTCAAAACTTTAGATAAAAATGTTAAAAAAAATTTTTAAATAACACAAAAATTTACAACAACAGCAAAAATTCCTGGAGCTGCAGAAGATTTTCTGATGCCATGTCTACCGAGGCTCAATCAATAAGCGTTTATCAAGTGTCTCAGCTGATGAACAACACCAAGTGCCTATGTGTTGGTGCTAGAAGCCAGAGATAAAAATACAAAGGATGAAACAATCCTTACCTGAGATGAGATTACCTTCTAATGGAGGAGACAGCAGTTGGGAGGAGCAGGAAAGGCTTCTTGTATAAGACAATGCTTTAGCAGAGCCTTGAAGGAAAGCAGAGAGGAGCAGAGAAAGGAGTGCATTATAGGAATGAGAATGGCCAATTCAAAGACCTGGACTATGGGAGCTGGAGTGTTGTGTGTAAAGAATAAAAAGAAAGATGGTTTGACTACATCTTGAAGTTACAGAGGCTGACAATAGAGGTTGGGGCCAGGTTGCGGAGGACTTTCAAATGATCAAATCTTATTCCAGAGACTAATAAAGCAGAATACTTCCCAGCTTTTGACAGAGAACAAGGAACATATATTTAGACATGAGATCCCCAACATGGGAATTTGTTTTGCTTGGCTATGCTTATATAATACCTCATTTCCACATTTTTTTCCCTTTCTTTTCAGGGCATGGGGGAAGGCAGAATTGAGAAAAAATAAATGTTTGAAGAAAAAAAAATTCTTAACACTAAAGAGTGAAGGCAGATCTGAAAGAACAATAAACACACAGAGTACAACCATGTAAATAAAAACATTATTCCAAAGTAAAGCTCAGAGAAAATGCAGTTGGTAAAACTGGTTACCTATTTAACCTTGCTTAAGTTAAATCACAAGGTCTTCCATTCTTTTAACAAACGATGGATTACAAAAGCATACAGTTGAATGTACTATTGATCATAAATACTTTTGCATCCTTTAGGAGGTATACTCTGGTTTGTATTAATGTTTATCTTTATCAGCTAGGTTAAAACAAAATTTGTCCATAAGATTTAAAATTTTTAAAAGCCGAACAGAAGTTTATTATAGGAAGGCAGTAGGGGAGAGGTGATAGGAAGCCACTAATATTAAGTAGGGGAGTCACATGGTTATATCTGCATGTAAGAAAAATCACTTAGCAGTATGTAAGCTGAACAAAAGAGGTGAGAGACTTGAGGCAGGGAGACCAGGCTATTGCAATAATCCAGGTGAGAGTTGAAAAGGGGCTGAACTAAGGAGGTAGCTATGAGCAGAGAAAAGATGTTATATGTGAGAGACGATTATGGGGGTAGAAAATAACAAGATTTTGTGACCAATAGGATACTCTGAGGGAGAGAATATGAAGAATTGCAGATAATGCCAAGGTTATAAATAGGTGGGGCAGGAAGAATGGTGATGCCTTTGACAGAAATAGGGAAATTTAGAAGAAGGGATGGTTTAGGGGGAAAGATAATGAGATTGATTTTGTATATATTGATTTTGAAATGTCTTGGAGATGTTTAGTTTGAAATGTCCAGTAAGAACTCCATGTTATGGGACTAAAACTCTTGGAAGAGATTGCCTTACTATGTAGATCTGGAAGTCATTTGC